AATCGAAATGTGTCTTGCTGCATTGCACGAATACTCTTCTAGTAATGTTTTAATAAGTATATTATCTCTTAAAAATCATATCTACTTAATAATCGTAATATCTAATTTTTGGTCTGCTAAGTTCATAGGATCAAATCCTTTGTTACTCACATTCAAGCTTCCTTCTGTCTTTGCACTCGTGGGCTAATCTTCATCCGACTCGAGAAAACCTTTACACGACTCTGTTACCTTTTTGGGATATTAACGAAATCCAATAAAATCGACCATGAGATCTCTCATTTGACGATGAATGATCTGATATTTTTTGCACCAAAATGGAACCAACTTTCACCTAATTCTTATTTTAGGGAATCAACTTTCAAAATCGTCATTTTGGAGAACCAACTTGCACCTGGTTACTATTTTGGGGAACCAATTTGCAAAATAATTATAGAAAAATAACTAAAATTCGTTTTTTTTAATTTAGATATCAAATTGAACATTTAAAAAAATTTCCAAATTACCACAATAAAAATTGTTTTTTACTAATGCAAAAAAAATCAATTTAATAGAAAAAATTTAATTGATGCAATTGGTTAGATATAAAAATCTTGAATGTGATATTTAATATTTATTTTTTATTGCATTAATTAATTTTTTTCTATTAAATTGATTTTTTTTGCATTAGTAAAAAATAATTTTTATTGTGGTAATTTGTATTTTTTTTAAATGTTCAATTTGATATCTGAATTAAAAAAACGAGATTTGAAATGAAAAATAGATTTTATTGCATTAATTTTTGAAAAAAAAATGAATTTTAGTTATTTTTCTATAATTATTTTGCAAGTTGGTTCCCCCAAAATAGGAATCAGGTGCAAGTTGGCTCCTCAAAATGATGATTTTGAAAGTTGGTTCCCCAAAATAAGAATTAGATGAAAGTTGGTTCTATTTTGATGTAATTTTCTCTTTTTAGTTCAAGCAACCATTAATATATGCGACGAATGATATTGCACGGTTTTGATAATAGTTTATGAAAGTTAAATTTTTGTAGAGTGAATTGTGGATTTGGGTATTTGTCGTTTGAATATTTCTTTTGGTTAGGATCCTTATGATATATGTTTATTCTGGATTTGGTTCTTGTGGTATTTAATTTGTTGTCTATGGTCCTTTTGACTAACGCTTCCGTTAACCCCGTTAAATCAAGAGTCATTTTAGCCTTTTGCCTATTCTTTTGTCTTTTTCTTATAAAAAATAAAAACCATATTTTTATAAACACACACACACACACATATATATATATATATATACACATATATATGTACACATATATATATATATATATATACTAGAAGGGTACTCGCGCGATGTAGCGAGATAATTTTCCATTTTAATGTTTAGTTTTTATTATGTCTCTATCGATATAATACGATTTTATATGGTTTTGAGAAAACGATAATGTTTTTATTTTTTAATAAAACATAAATTTGAAAATAGTACAAAAAATTGAAAAAAATAAATCGATATTAATATCAAATTAACTATTTAATAATTCTTGTTTTTTGTGTAACACTTTACTTCAATTTTTTATTATAATTTAATTTATATTTAATAATAAAGTAATTTATTTTTGGTTTAATAATATAAAATTTTATAAAGATAATAATTAGACATTCTGTTAGAACTCAATGATTATCGTAATTAAATTTTAGATTTTCTATATTTAAAATGGATGTTTATCTTGTATTTGATTATGTTTATCTGTAGTTAGTTACACAGATTTAAAATAGAGCTTTAATAAGTTGTATTTACACAAAATTACTTGTAATATTGAATTTGAAGTAATATGCATCAATAAACAGTACTTCATGCATAAAAAATAATTTTTAAGAGTTTTTGTCAAATGTTTTATAATATAGTATAGATGACAACATCAAAATAAATAACATTTGATATTATTGTATGATTTGATTTGTTTAACTTTTTAAAAAATTAATTATATTAAATACGATTTAATTTTATTGTTTTATCGTAATGGTGAAAAAAGATATGGTTTTATTGTAATTAAAAAAATTAATTTAAACAAACCATAAATATTTTATTTAGAACGAATAAAATAAGATATGGTTTTATGATTTGATTTGTAAAAATTAAAAAAATTAATTATGGTAAATATGATCTAATTTTATTATTATTTTTTTATCGTTGCAATAAAACAAGCTTATTATCGATATTTTAACATCAAAATCAGTGAAAATCATTAAGAAATGAACTTCAATTTTATCATCCTAAAATTATGTTTTCAGTTTTCATATTGTTTTTCATTTAAAAATTCAAAATCAACTATTTTAGATTTTAATGAAATGAAATATTCATACATATTCTTATCTTTGTAACTTAATGAACAAATTCCTTAAAAAACTTTAACCAGGTTTTTCATATCAAAATACTAAAACAATAAAACTAAATCATATTTAATATAGTTAATTTTTTAATTTAAACAAATCAATTCACAAAATAATATCAAAATAATATACTATTTTATTTATTTTGATATCATTATATATATACTAGAAATGTACTCGTGCAATGCAGCGAGATACATCGTGATTTTAATATTTCATTTTATTCTTTATCTCAGTCGATGTTATAATATGGCTTTATGTGATTTTGAGAAAGCGACGATGTTTTTATTTTTGAATAAAATATATGTTTGAAGATATCATAAAAATTTGACAAAAATATATCGATATTAGTATAAATAGTTAATTTGATACTAATATCGATATATTTTTAGGAGTTTTTAAGAGTTTTAAGAGTTTTTAAAAGTTTTAAAAGTTTTTAAGAGTTTTTAAGAGTTTTAGCCAAATGCTTTATAAGATAGTATAGATAGATTATATAATTTAATTTAACTTTAATAATGAAATAATTTATTTTTGGTTTAATAATATAACATTTTATAAAGATAATAATTAAGTATTCTGTTAGAATTTAATGATTATACTAATTATATTTTAGATKTTTTATATTTAAAATGAGATGTTAATCCTGTTTTTGATTGTGTTTATCTGCAGTTAGCTACACGAATTCAGATATGGGAATGGTTTAAGAGTTTTTAGGAGTTTTTAAGAGTTTTAAGATATATATATACATATACATACTAGAAGGGTACTCGTGCAATGCATTGAGACACATCTTGATTTCAGTGTTTCGTTTTATTCCCTTTTTATGTCGATATAATACGGTTTTATGTGGTTTTGAGAAAACGATAATGTTTTTATCTTTTAATAAAATATAAATTTAAAAATATTATAAAATTTAAAAAAAAATATATCGATATCAGTATCAAATTAATTTTTCTAAAAGTTCTTGTGTTTGGTGTAATTTCCTTAATTCAATTTTTTAATTATAATTTAATTTAGGTTTAATAATATAATTTTTATAAAGATAATGATTAAGTATTATGTTAGAATTTAATGATTATCTTAATTATATTTTAGATTTTTATATTTAAAATGAGATGTTTATCCTGTATTTGATTATGTTTATCTGCAGTTAGTTACAAGAATTCAAAGATAGAACTTTAATAAGTTGTACTTAATCACAATCTCCTTGTAATCTTGAATTTTAAGTAATATGCATCAATAAACAGTACTTCATGCATAAAAAATAGTTTTTAAGAGTTTTTGTCAAATGTTTTATAATATAGTATATATATATATATATATATATGTGTGTGTGTGTGTGTGAAAAACAAAAAGTATAATGATATAATAAGAAAATTTATAAAATTAAGTTACCATTTCATGCGTTTTGTCATACATATATGATACACATATTGTTTTTATTTTTTTATAGGAAAAATACAAAAGGATAGGCAAAAGGATAACATGGCTCTTGATTTAACGAATACGTTAATCAGAGAGACCATGGCCAAAATAAATTAAATACCACAAGGACTAAATCCACAATAAATATACCATAAAGGCTTAGTAAAAAAATATCAGAACACTTGGACCAAATCCACAATTCACTCATTTTTGTAACATTGACTTAAGAATTAGAAGCAAAAATTATGTAACTATTTAAACAAAAACCCACTAATTAAAATGCAACGATGCTTATTTTTATATTTGGTATGGCGAATAATCGTGTGAGAAAAAGAGTTAGGTTAAGAAACGTAAAAAAAGATATGGACCATTGATCACCTGTAATCTCAAATTCATCCATGAATCCACTTGATACGAGAATTGATCTTATACATCTCGATGCATTTCATCCTAATGTGCATCCAAGAGTAGAGATCGCTTCTTACAGTTTTCACCTTAACTCTCCTTTTCACAAGGACCCAAACCCTATTAGTATAAAGATTAATTTTTTTTTTCTCAATCACTATAACAAACATTCAGTTGTTTCTATTTTGTACTTGTTTGACTGGTAATTGGTAAATTTTGTACCCAACCGACATCTGACCTAATTGTATCCGAGTAACCAGTAGAATCCAACATTTTTAAAGGTCAGAGGTTCAAACCTTACCAAATATGAGGATGATATATAAGTTCATTTGTTGTATGAATATATTATGTACCTAAAAAATGGTAGATGTTACAACTTACAACTATTGATTATATAAATGTAAAGTTATTAAATTACATTGTATTTCTTAATTACATGAAGAATGTGATATCAATATCAATGAATTTCGAATAAACCAAAAACCCATTTGTTAAATAAAACAATGCAAAGGGGGTGTTTGGGATTACTTATTTAAAATAACTTATTCTTTTCTATAAAAACACTTATCAACTTATTATAAGTCAGAAGAGTTTAATTTCTTCAAAAACTTTTTATTATCGGTTTGTCACCGGTATAAGTTGTTTATCCAAACACTCAAAAGTGATTATTACTGGTGCTACTCCAGAATAAGTAAATAAGTTATTAAAATTATATTATCACATTAAATAAATAGAAATAGAAATTAGGACAAATTTCCTTATATAAACCTATTATTTGGTATTCAATTTGGGGTACCAAAATTAATGAAGGAATGGAAAAGAATTGAAGAAGGCGAACGAAACCACCTCACTCCACTGCTGATCATACTCATAATCATCATTTCTCCCTGCGGTTTTTGAATCATCAGCAACAGATTCCGTGGTGGCTTTTTGATGGCAAGCAGTGGTGCCGCTAATGAACGTGGCGGAGGAGAAGAAGAGGAAGCCAAAGAACTGGCTGCACAGCTTAGCAAAACCCTAAAAGAAGGAGAAAGAATCCTTGCCCCCACACGAAGACCCGACGGAACCCTACGCAAACCCATTCGCATTAGAGCTGGTTACGTTCCTCAAGATGAAGTCGCCATTTACAAATCTAAAGGTGCCCTGGTATGTTTAATGCCACTCAACTATTTTTTTTTTTGCGTTATTCCAAGTGATTCGAGTCTATTCGGTTGATTTTTATCTATTCTCGAAGTTGAAATTAGTGTTTCGGTATGATTTGTATGATGATGGGCAGTTGAAGAAGGAAATGGAGTCGCTGGAAACAGTGCCCCCTGGTTATGATCCTGAAGTGGATGTTGTTAGTAAACCTAAGAGCAAATCGGCCAAGAGGAATGAAAGAAAGAAGGAAAAGCGTTTGCAGGTTTGTCATTTAACTCTCATGTAATTCGGATTTTTGCTTTTCATTATGGTAAATGCAGAATTTAATGCCATCATATACTGCGCGTTATTTATTCGAATATTCGAACATGTTTTGTGAATGATCTATGCATTTAAGGAGATGAACTACTCAAAAAGGTTAAATTTGCTAGAAATTGTTGGGACATCAAAACTTTGCCATATTGGATGCATTCTTTTCATGGTTTTTCAATATTTTGCCATCCATTTGGTTTGTTGTACTTTACGATATCCCATGAGAGAGTTCTGTGCATTGCCTCTCTGGGACATACTTGGTTCGTACATCAGACCTCCATATCCTGCCGCTGCATGGGACGTACTTGGCTTGTTTAGTTTGCTCTTTTAGAGAGTTTCTTGCATTTAAAATTTGTATACTTTATGGCCAGATAGGTCAAGTTAGTCATGTCGACATAGAGATAACATGAAAATCCATTGATGCCACATGCCACAGTCCTACCACTCTCTGAATTAGAATGACCAACAAACCTCAGGTCCATGTTGTTGCCCAACCTTTTTGGGATAAAATAGGACAAAGTGTGAATGTAGCTGTTGGAAGACATGTGTTTCTACACATTAGTTTGATGTGTGAACCCCACTCATTAGTCAAGCCCCTAGAAATAGTTTGGGATAAAATAGGACAAAAGGTGCACCATTTCTTGCAAAGTAATCTCTTATTGCGTAATTAAGTAAGATCTTGATAGGCCAGATATTTTGTGCAGATTAACCTGAAAACATTTTGATATGGCATTGTATTATATAAACATATGCGTATAAGCTTTTGAAGCAACTTGGATCTATTGTCCAAGAAGTTTCCTCAAGTTCAAAATGAATGTTTTGATTGTTGTAATAAAAAATGAGTTGAAATTCAAACATTAGTTCTAGTCAGGTTACCGACAAAGCTTAACGGTTTGTGAGCAATCGTAACTCTTCAAAAAACAATTGTCGGTAAATAAATTGTGTTTTTGTTGTAGAACTCAAAGATTCAAATGCAACAACCACCACAATTACCATAATAAAAAAATTAATTTTGAACGAGCATGCTAATTATATTTTTGGACTCGAGAGTCGAGGCTTTTGAACATGATGCCATACACAATTAGTTAACCTAATGATGTCTTAGGCCTTCTAGTGTTGTAAATTGTTAGATGTATTGTGAAAAAATATTTAGTGAAGAAAATTTGAACTTCATACACTTAAAAGAGGGGTACTATAGTTCCCTAGTGGCAATTGCAATGGTGGGAACTTAGAATCTTTTCAACTTAAAGAGTGATTAATAGAATAATGTTGTTGCCCCAAACTTTCTTAAATGTCTTGGTTAGGGATATTTGAGAAAGTTGGGATAATGATAATATGCTATGAGTTACTTTTAAGTTGAAAATATTCTAATCTCCAACCATTTAAATTGCCAATAGGGAACCATAGTACTCTCGTTTAAGTGTGTAAGCTCAAGTTTTCTTCACTAAATAGCTTTTCACAGTACATCTGGCAATTTATAACCATGGAAGGCCTATGACACATTAGGCCAAGTAATTGCAATATGACATCATGTTCAAAAGCCTCGACTCTCGAGTCCAAGAATATAATTAGCATGCCCGTACAAGATTAATTTTTCATGATGGTTGTTGCATATGGAAGTATAAAAGGTCTGAGTAATGCAACCAACATGATTTTTTTTAGCGGTAATTATTTTTTGTAATGAGTTACAGTTGCACACAAGCCGTTACTTTTTGTTGGCAACCGAAACTGATATTTGAATTGGCATCTCAATTTTGACAGCAAAATGTTACTTGTTGAATTTGAGGGAACTTCTTGGACCATACATACAACTATATTTTTCCATACAACTCTCTTGGATGTTATAAAAGAGACTTCAACGTTCAAAATCTTATTACATAACTTTAAGCAGTTTTCAAGATATAACTGACACAAACAATTGCACTCAATTACTAAATACAATATAAATTAAATAGCAAGAGAACTGTCAAAGTTTGGACTTCTCTCAAATTCTATTTTGTAACACGTCTCTTCATAGACCGTGAACCCTTCCTATGTGTATGCGTCTCCTCGGTTAAAAACCAAACTAAACAAACCCAATAGATCCCACACGGGAAAGTGTTAAAAGAATTCAAAAGGTATAGAATTCTTGTTGAAAGCGAGACTGTACTAATAGAGCTCTATGCAAGTTTCAATTAAGGTTTGTATGAGAGAATGTCCAAGAGTGCTCGAAGTAGATGGATATAATTGGTTTGGGAATTAAAACTCTCTTCTTAAAAACACTTGCTTTAAGCTTGTGGATCTGGAAGGATTGCTTGAACCTTTGTAATAAAATCTAAATTTTGCAGTCTCCTTCATATAAAACAAGGGATATATTTGATTTGGATCAAAGAGTCGTCTTTAATAAGATCCTTTTTAAGGTGGATATTTCTTCTGCTAGACATCCCAATGACCTTTCTTCAAATAATACCAAGCATAATGTTATAGACTTTCGACATGTCCTCTTCATTATTCTAATAATCTTCTTGCACATTTTATTTTAGTGATATATCGTGTTACCGTTGCATTATCCCATTCCCATTACATGTTTTCCAAAATTCTCTTTTTATAACTTGGACAACTAAGATACGTGAGTTTATTTGTTTATTTGTCATCAAGAAACTTACAGAGGAGAATGATTTAGCACCAACTAGTAGATAGCGTGGAGAGATATCATGCAGTGAGGTCTAAGGAATGTATCTTGGAGAGACCTCATTGTACTGGACGTTTTATGTGTGCAAACAAACAACTCCTTATCTCACTTGTTGCTCTCCTTGCCCATCATTTTCAGGCCTTAGTTACTTGATCTTGGTTGTTTTCAGGACCTTGCATGTAGCCTTTAGCCGAACATCTTTTTTTTGGGTAACTGTGGATATCTGGGCTAGCTTACACACAGCGACAAATCCCCTGGGAAACCATGAATGGCGTGGATCAAATGTGAACCTCCATGGTCTGGCCACAAGGGCTTTGGCAGTGCCTAGATACAAACCCGGGGAGGATGAGATTTTCCACTACATTCCCCTAACCCCGAGCATCTATACTTCTCACATTCAGGGATTTCAGATGCAATTGAATTACAAGAGAGTGAAAATTGCAGGTCTTTGGGTGCATTTGGAATGAGCGCAATGATAGATCTTGGGGGCACGAACATCCTTTCTATATGAATAGATTTGCACCTCTTTTTTGTTTTTGCTCGTCAAGTTACTCGAGGATAGAATTCCTATTTTTGCCAATAGAAGATAGATGATGGTTATTATAGTTCATATTTGAATTGACTTTGAACCACCTAAGTGGAATTCTTATGATATCTTCAAGCCTTGCATGATTGGCCTTTTTTCACTAGATACTATGGTCGAATCAAGTCATTAGTAGATGTTCTTTCTCGTCTGACAAAATGATCATGCTGTGAAAATTTTGTAGAGGAGAAAATAGCTTTCCTAATCACCATGTTCATAGAAGTTTTAGGTTGATGTATATATATGTCTTCTTTCTACACTGTGGGATGTGGTTTTCCTTGAGCACATTGATTCTGCTAACTATTAGTGTAGAAGAAACCAAAAGCCTATTAAGTGTGTTTAGCAATAGGAAGGATGCATGGAGCATCAATCAAGATATTCTAACATGCAAGTCCCCATATAGAATTAAGGGGGTGTTTACCAAATGTTTACCGGGTAGGTGCTTACTAGTAAAAGCCACCACTCTCACTTATCTTACGTGGAAGGTTCTCGGCCATCAAATTGGCATGGTAGGCAATAATCTTACCTAGTAAGTGCTAACCTGTAAGAGTCAGCACCCTCACTTACTGGGTTAAGATTGTCGGACCTTGCCATGCTGCTGACCGGGTAAGATTCTTGATCCTTGCCATGCTCACCCGGTAAGATAAGTGACAACCTATAAGTGTTTGGTAAGCGGTCTCTAAATGAATTTCAAGCTTAGTTATGTAGCTGGGGAATTTGTCACTTTGCTTATTCAATTTGATGATAAACAAGGTGTCGAGAATAGTAGAAGTTTTGTGTCTTGACAATTTTGAACAAGTAGGAAGAGCCGCTTCCTATTTGTGGACTCCTATCTTCCTTATGCAATGCACTCAGTTGATTATCATTTTTATAATGGTGCTCAAGGTTTTAAAGGGCGGAATCCGGCCTCGAGGCGTTTTCCCTCAACGAGGCGAGGCGTAAGCCCCGAGGCGGAAATATATATACACCAAAATCTGTATATATATACTACACAAATATATATATATATATATATATACACACACATATACAATATATAATACTAGATTACCAAGAGGCGCTTGTTTAGTGGTTCTTGACATAGGAAATAGTGAAACCGTGAGGAAGGGTCATACCACACTTTTTGATTGAGAGGAGAAAATAATAGCTTTTTGGGTTTTAAATTATTAGAGGTACACATTGGGCCACTTGGCTTTGACTTTTAGTTTTTTTAAAGACACTATAAAGAGAAGTACTACTATTGCCATAAAGCTTATAAAAAAGACAAAACCCATTACCAAAGCAGGTCATCTGAGGCGTACGCCTTGACACCGCCTCATGTCTCACTGAACCGCCTCATTGAACCAAGGCGTAAGCCTCATACAGGGTCCAAGAGGCGCCGCCGCAGGTGTGGTTTTGGGCCGCCTCGCCTCGAACTATTTTTAAAGCCATGATGGTGCTCACAATGAGATTGCTAAGACCATCCTTCATATTACCATTTCTAAAAATTGCAACACTTCCATCTTTGTGTTCCAAAAAATGCAACATTTGCGGTTTGGGGAAGTTTGTGAACCAAGTTGACCTTTTTGCTCATTCGTGATCATTACTTGATAATCGTTAACTTCAAATTTGGTCCACAACTTCTGTTTATGTTATCCTAGTTGAGGGGCATTTTAGATATTTGCCCAATAGTTGACTGAGTCAACATTGTCGTTAAACTATGTCAAGTCAAATGTTGCATTTTTTTAACGGAGGGAGTAGCTTATTTTTTTCTAGCATACCCTTTATCATCTTTTTAAGCAATTGATTTTGTGACTAAATTGAACTTCCACTGCTATATAACATTGGAAATAGCAGTAGATAACAGGACTTAGATGTCTAATATAATATATAATTAAAACTTGAACTATCTACATTATTTACGCTTTAAAGTTTATTTTATTTGAAATATTTTTTTGCCAGTGGCAGTTAATTTCATGCAAATTCCCATATCTTAAAATAACCACCTTCTCCTAATAGTAATGAGGATGGTATCATAAACTTGACACATTCAGATGTTTTCTACTTCTCTCTTCGTTACTGTTAATCAACAGTTGACGCTCTAAAGTACATACAAGCTTCACCATGGTCAACTAGTATACAAACTCTTCATGGTGCATACTGTTGTCCCTCTCTTTCTTGATTGATCAGACTTCTGAATATCCACCTCCTCCTATATAATAAGTGATAAACTTTTCCGATGTGTGCTAGATTGGATAGAAGTGTAATTTGCCGCAGAATTAATCTACGAGCCCTTGTACATGGTTGAGGTTACGTGCATCAAGAAAGCAAGATAAAAGTTTCATTCTAACAGTGATACTTGAATCTTCTCCATTATTCCAAAATTTGCCTTTTAACTAAGAAAAGATGCCAAAGATGGCTGTCATTTATAAAGAGTCATCGTCCTCTTCCAGAGTTGTAACGCTCCGATCATCAATGGCTGGAATTTGGCTTTTTTATTTGTAAACCTTCAAAGCTTTTCGATATCCAGACTACTAGTAATGACATGAGTCATGAGTGTACTGAAATCATAATAAGGTGCACATGGCCGCATGAAAGTGAAGCGTATTGGAAAGACATCAGCATGTTGGAGTGGTGCTGATTGAGAAGAAAAAGAGGGAAGGTTGTTTAGGTCATCCACCTTTGGATTGACCGATAAGGTGTAGGCTAAAATGTAACTAAAAATTATGTAATCTTACAATAGGAGAGTTTGGACTTTGCGCGGAAAAAGTATCTTAGGTGCTATGCTGTTATAGCGGTCAAAATACAAAATAGCAGTCCGGACCAATTTTTGAAATAGCGGTTATAGCAGTTCATATAATATTTCTTAGATATATGTATGTATGCATACATAAACATATCATATGCATTAATTAAAAATATAGTTTTAACATCAAAACATCAACTTAAACAAGTTTTACAAAACAAAATAGGAAAAGTGTTCATAAACATTATAGATCTCTCTTGCTTTAGACTCCCTCTGTTCCAAAATAAGCATCCACATTTCTATGTAAGTTTGTCCCATAAGAAGATGTCAACTTTCAGAAATAGATGGTTACAATTTACCAAATTTTCAATTCTACCCTTAATTATGATGCAAGAATATTTAACAGTCAATGAGATGGAGAAATCCATAAATGGTAAAATTGTCATTCATTTTAACTAAAAATTTGTAATAATTTTTCATTTCTAAGATTGTGTTTTTTTATTGACATTTATTTTGGGACATACTCATTCTTCCTTTCTTACTGAGAATTTCATATTCATATCTCTAGTTCTACACATGTCTCCTCTATCTGAAGGTCATGTCAATTATTGATGTTCTACAATGCTTATGGATGGATGCAAAGAGGAGGAAGTTTAAATTTAGTTAATATCATTTTTCTTTATCCAAAAAATATTAATTATCATTTCACGTGTTGGTTTTGTATCATGTTGATATATTCCTAGTATGTCTATGCTACTTCTTGAAGCAGGCTTCCCTCGATAAGGGCAAAAGTGAAGTTTCATCTACTGAAGATGTTGATCGAGCATCAGAACCTGTTGAATCCATTGTTTTCCAGATGAACGAGATCACTATTTCTGGAAACCCTTCCGTTGCTACCCCTCCTTTGAATTCAACAGAATGTTTAGCTACGGAAGATCATATTCCTGACATTGATAAAAGAATCCGGGCCCTAAAAAAGAAGGTACAAAATTATGCATTTGAAACTTTGAATTCTTACACTGTTAATTTTTCTAGGAAGCTATTATGATTTTTTAACCTTCTCAAATATGACCTTAATTGAGTTCTTAATTAAATCCACGACCTCCCGACCTACTAAAGAAAAAATGGCTTCATACTCATGAGAAGGTGATGGATTTAATTAAAATCCCGTTTAAGTTATATACCCAAATATCGGGTTTAGTTTGTAGGACCAGAGGCAGGTCATTGAGTTAAAAGGAAAAACAGAAACTGAAGACTCATTTAAACCGAAGAACTCCTGAATTCATTGCGAATACGATAATGATGCTGATAAATTCGTTCTTAATTTGGTTGCAGATCCGGCTGACGGAGGCAAAAACGGGGAACGAATTGAAACCGGAACAATTGGAGAAGGTAGGTAAATTGGAGGATTGGAGAAAAGAGTTGAAGCTTTTGGAGGACAAAAAGGCTTCTTTCCATGATTAAATTGGTGCTTTGCTTTGGTAGCATGTTTTAGGAAAAACTAAAACTCAATCAGCCTAATCTTATCTTGTCCAGATTTATTTTCAAAAGGCCAAAATTTGCCTCCAATTGGGAATCCAGAAACTGTTTGGACAAATTATTTCTTCACCTTTTTTTTTTGATTAACCTGGATATCCAACCCGTTATGCGATCCGATTAATCCCAAGGCGACCACCTGCTTTGCAGATAGCTTGGAGTCACCGCATTTGATCCTCCGTGGTCACAAGGGGATTTTTATTTCTCCTTGGATTGGATTTGAACGTGGGACCTTCTGATATTTTTGACCTTTGAAGCGAAGCTCAAACTAATTAGGCACCACCCTTTTTACATGATAGATGTACCCACCCATGAATTAACCATGGCAACTCTGCAGCATAGAGTTGAAAGGACAAAAGTGCCCTTCAACTAATGCTACTTTTGACTAACGGATTTAGTGCCAGGGGACCGTTACCGAAGAAAATGTGAAACCACGGTGATCGTTATTGTACTTGTTAGAGTTTACGGATGTTTATATAGACCAAAATTATAGCTTACACGAGAAAATGTCAAATATAAATTTGAAAACGTGTCTCGAACAACTTTATGTATTATTATTATTTTTTTCTGTCGTGTTCTCTTGTTACAAGATATGTTAAGAGAATGTGAGTGCAACTAAACGGAAGACAAATTAGTATGTGAGATTGTAATTATTTTTAACAAGCCTGTGTTTCAAAAAAAAAAAAATTAGAGCTGGTTGGCAATTGCTCAATGATTAAGATGCTCTTATAATATAGTACAAAATGAAATATAATTGTTTGATAACTATTTACAACTAAATTAGAACGTTGAATGGTTAAAGGACGTCCATGATACAAAATCATTTAGAAGGTTTTGAAATCATTAAGAGGCAGACTTTTTTTTGCCAAATAAGATTCACTTCTTAACGATTCAGATGTTGTCTCTTAATGGAACTATTAAAAATCAAAACAATTTGATGATTTAATTATTTAAGGGATTGTTTGACGGTTGTTGAATGATTTGGTGCTAAATGATTAAGTGATCAGAATGATTAAGAGGCTCTCATGATATAATGCAAAATGAAATATAAATGTTTGGTAATTAATTACAACAAAATTAGAACGTTGAATGATCAAGGGAAGCTAAGAATACAAAATCATTCAGAGAGTTTTAGAACCATTAAGATGTATGTTTTTTTGCCAAACAAAAGTCACCTCTTAACGATTCAAAGACTACCTCTTAATGAAACTATTGAGAGGTAAACAAACAACACAAAAACGTAAACTTATATTGTTCAAATATAAATTTTAAATTCTCATTACACAAAGGTTAAGATGCAGCAAACCAATGAAGCAGAATGACAGAAGATTTCCAGTAGGTTTTACACAAATCCATTACAATTTCTCTTGAAGAAAAAACACTCTCTCCTGCTTACTCAATTTTACAAAAATGAAGTGCACCTTAATGCAACATCTCTCACCAAAACTGTTGTTTCATATGCAATTAATTAGGAGGATTCGTCGTCTGATCCTAGCACCAAACCTTCTTGATAAACTTGGAAATCTTCCGGGCTCCATCTGCATATCAGGTGAAGCTTAAATGTCGCCATCTTGATGCCCATTAGACGCTGCATTTGCATCCAAAGCCAGAACCACAGGTTAGTCTTTATAGTCGTCGATCATCATGTGCATCATTTTGCATGGCATCATGCGAAATGAGATGCTAATATTGTTCAAATGTTTGTGTGTGATCGGCCCTTGACTTAAAGCACAAAAAGGATCAATGTAATGAAAAAGTCGCTAAATAATTTACTAACCAGTATGCGAGATGACTCGGGTGATATGGGTTTCCCTTCCTCACATACAACAAAATCTCCAACAAGTGACACCACACCTGTTCAGCATCAAGAAGAGCAAAATGAAAACTTGCACATACTACTTTTGTATATTGGTTATTTACGTGAATAACCATCTCACAGATTATTTCAAATGCAAGACCTTCTGATAGATTTACAAACACTTCTCCCTAACTGAGGAGTGCCTCTTCTAACACAATAATGCCTCAAATTTTGTCAAAAGATTTTCCATTAAAAAAAAACCCAAAAATTTGTTTTTCATCTGCTTCATGTGTTGTCCAGATACACACACACACAACCATACATATATATATGCATATATATATATATACACACACAGAGAGAAAGACGATGCAAACCTTTATTTAACCGCACAGGCATCCCTTGCTTCCGCAGGAAGGGCTCCATTTCATGTGTGAACTGGTCTAGAGGACCTTCTTTAAGTTCCACCTGAAGGATTAAATGTTACTCACACAGAATGCAAATCTTAAATCAAATAAACTCGTTTTTAACAGCGGCACCACATGCAAGAACCAGAAGCATATCTTCTATGAGATTAACCCCATGTTGGAAATGCATATGCAAGTATGATAACATCAAATTACTACTAACCGTTTCTGTCGCAATACTTCCAGTCCTAGCAAAGTCATAGTCTTCATATTCTGTAAATATTCTGCCAAAGATAGAGAAGCAATAATAAACTAAAATGTATAATACGGAAAAAAACATGGAGCACCCAAATATAATTCATAGTGGTGAAAAAGGAGGTTTTATAGTATCAACCTTTGGGCCTCTTCTACAGGCATATTGGTTAAACAAAGCCCAGAATCCCCTCGAAGAAGCTGTGTATGCAAACAATGATAAAAGAAATTAACCAAAATCAAACTGGGCTTAATTAAGATTATAAAGTAAAACTGTCACACTACAGTTTTTCATGGGCTGCAAGGGATTTAAGTGTTCTGCTTACCTTAGAAACCTTGTGAAGCCCTGGTCTTATCTCATCAGAAACAGAGCGGCCAATAGCAACCTGCATGACTTTGTTTGACCCAAGAAAAAATCTGAAACATCAAACACATAGTCAATCAGTAGCAGCTAAGTTACGAGTATACCATTAATCAACAGAAAAGCCATGTAATAGCTTAAGATCTTCTAAAGATATAATTTATTGAATTTAGCACTTCAAAAGACCTGCTGGTGGATTTGAGCTGCTCCCTGAACTGCTTGAACTTGAGATTCCTCATGTTTTCAAAGCTGAAAACATATATGGAATTGTAGTTCTCCACGGCATCCCTTATTGAATTCACTATGCTTTCTTTATGCTCCCTCCCTTTCTTCTTTGTCTTTGACAACGTAACTACATGCAGCACAAGCAGAAGTTATTAAGCAAGCTAAAACTTGCACACACTTGCGGAGTTTACAATTTGACCATTAACATGAAATATTCAGCAATTTTGTGTTGGTCCACCTCCGTTTTACGGAACCAACCAAAAGCATTACAGACAAAAATTTGCCTGTGCAAGTTGTAATAAATGTTGAAAAGATGCTGGATAATTCCCAATCTATACCTTTCTCACAATATACGGCCAAAGGGGGTGCTTGTTTTTTGTTTGTTCATGTTTTAGGTGTTCCGCAGTTGTGGCATGCAAAACCGCGTTTTTTTTTTAATTAACCTGGATATCCAACCCGCAACGCGAGCCGACTAATCCCAGGACAACCACCTGCTTTGCAGATAGCCCGGAGTCACCACATTTGAACCTCCGTGGCCACAAGGGGTTTTTTATTCCTTCTTGGATTTGAACCTGGGACCTCTTGGTACTTTTGACCTTTGAAGCCAAGCTCAAACCAATCAAGCACCACCCTTGTGGTTCAAAACCGCGTTTTTTAAGTTATTCCAAGGTTTACTTTTAATCTTATATGAGCCCATATTAACTCTCCAAACCAGGTCTATATGTGTCAAGCCAAGGTTTTAGTTCATACAAACCAATAAGCACCAAAACTATAGAAGCCACGTCAATGGATGAGGCAATCCAAGCCTCAACTCTTTTCAAGCTCAGTGAACCACGAGCCAAGCCTTACCCTATCTTCTTTTCACTTCCTATTGAAAGTCTTGGTTTATGGTTCGCTTTTGTTGAAGGAAGTAGGAAAAGTGGACATAAGAACTAGTAATGACAATTGGTGGTTAGGAACTGGTAGTTAGAAGACAGAGAACATAAGCATATAAACATTGTGATCACCATATTTGCTTACAAATAAGTTCATCTATCATCACCATCAATCACCATTAGTAAAAGTATGGTCTTTCAATTTTGTTCATAACGTAAAAAGATCCTAAGAGGTACAAAAGGGCGATCATAAGAATACCAGGTGTGTGCATCACACCCAGTGCAAAAAGTATAAACACCCTGTTACTCTCAAGTCATCATTCATTAATCGATTCTTCTTAGATGGCATCCACAAATTAACTTCGATTCCAATTATCAGGGTTGAAAGAGATTCTGATAATGTGACAATTCCTATAATAAATCATACAACTCAGATTAAGAAAAACTGGCACAACTTTTGAATCACCATCAATTCCTGAGCTACGAATAAATGCAACTCTAAGCAATACTAAACTCAATTCCTACCCATTTGATTTGCTATTATGGATATCTCCATAAAATCACTTCTTCTCCTTGTATCGAACAAACAAACAAAGCATCTCAAACTTAAAAACGAAACCAAGAATCCCCAAACCACAAAACACCACTATATTTGACATTCTCTTCGTCCTAACGAAATTGATGAATCAATTGCATTATGTAGTACCAAATTCATGCTCTAGCATCCCTTTGTTTATGATGAAAATCAAACCAAGTAATTCAAACTTAAAAAAGAAAGAACAAACGAATTACCTGCTCTATCTCTCTTGGATTTTGGCATCTTCGTATAACCCTTTCAAAATGCAAGTACAGCTGCTATCTGGCCGTCCGTCCGTCGGTCTCTTCTCTTTTCTCTTGAATTAAACCCTCAAATGCATTTGTGCTGTCTGTGTCTGTCTAGGGTTTAAAGGCCATGCCATTCGTTCTGCTTATTGGGCCGACCCATATTTTAAAAATAAGTTGGGTTTGGCCCATTTACTTTCACAATTAAATTTAACCAACATAATTATCAGTTCAAATTCAAACTAATTGAGTTATTAATAGAAGGGTACTCGCGCAATGCAGCGATATATATTTTAATTTTAATGTTTCATTTTATTCTTTATCTGAAGATGTTATAATACGATTTTTATGTGGTCTTAAAAAGGCGATGATGTTTTTTATTTTTGAATAAAATATAAATTTGAAGATATCATAAAATTTCGAAAATAAATATATCAATATTAGTATCAAATTAACTATTTAAAAGTTATTGATTTTGTGTAATTTCTTTAATTCAATTTTTTTGTTGTAATTTAGTTTGGATTTAATAATAAAGTAATTTATTTTTTGATTTAATAATATAATTTTTATAAGGATAATAATTAAAAAATTTGTTAGAACTCAATGATTATTCTAATAATATTTTAAGAAACTTATATTTAACATAAAATATTTATCCGGAATTTGATTATGTTTATTTGCAGTTAGTTATACGAATTGAAGAATGAAGCTTTAATAAGTTGTACTTACGCACAATTTACTTGTAATCTTAAATTTTAAGTAATATGCATTAAATAAACAGTACTTCATGCAAAAAGAATGATTTTTAAGAGTTTTTGTCAAATGTTTTATAAGAATGGTAGTCATCGGTGGTTGGCAGTGATTCAGATCGATGGTGGTCCATTGTGGTTTAGGTGACGATGGTCGGATGTGATTTAGATCGGTGATGGTTAGTGGTGGTTTAGATCAGCGATGCTTCAGATCGGTAGTAGTTGACGGTGGTTCAGATTGATAGTGGTACGTGGTGGTTCATATGGCGATGGTCGATAGTGGTTCATATCGGTGGTGGTCCATGGTGATTCAGTTGGCGGTGATCAACGGTGGTTCAGATTGACGGTGGCTCATATCGATAGTGGTCGGCGGTGATTCAGATCGGTGGTGGTGGTCAGCGGTGATTCAAATCGATAGTGGTCGGAGGTGGTCGACGATGATCATATTGAGTTTCATGATATTAGAGTATATTGGGTTAAAGATACATTTGGTATAATAAAGATAGAGATTTCATTCTATCAAAACACCATGTAGTTGCTAAGGAATGTTAAATTCTTTTATTTGTGGAATTTATAAGATTTTGAAAATTCATTTCGTAAAAAAAATAACCAAACGAGGGAATAAAATTTAGTCAATGGAATTATTCAACATTCTAAGTCCAAGTCCATCAAATCAAATTGTAAAGGAATCTGCAAACCAAAAACAACCTGAGATACTTGGAAAGGCTGGTGCCATATAACCTGAAAGTTTTCATATTATATTATGATATAAATACAACCAAGTAGAGGCCCACCAAAGCTCTTTCATACCCTGCAAAATCGAAATCCTCTTAACCATGGTTAACGTATGTATTCAGCTACAAAACAGATATAACATAAATCGACGCTAATTCAGGTCAAGAAAACTTCAATCTGCCCGTCTTTACCAAGCATCACACTTGACGTCTAATCCAAACAAACCTACAACATCCATCCCACACTGAGCCAACATATACACAGACCTTACCTATACCCCCAGAAACCCATTTCCGACACAAAAGCAAAAACAAAAACAAAAACAAAAACAAAAACAAAAACAAAAACATAGCATCATGCTTGACATCTAAAGCCATCAAAGAAGATTAGACTTAAGATCCCATTTCATATTATTCTTTCTCTGGATTCCATCCGAAATTCGCCTGCATCAAACACATCTGTAACGTTCAATGTTGAAAAGGGCCAAAAAACGAGCAGCGTCTGAATAAAACGATTGCATCTTTACATTGGTGCAATTGAGATTTAAAGAATGGTTCAGATTCAGGAACATAAACAGGTCCAGGGAATCAGCAAAAGAATTACAAACAGAAATTAGAAGATTTTTACTGAACCTCATGTGTGGGTCAGTAAGTTTAAGCAAAAAAAGAGACTTGCAGAAATCTTCTGTCCTCCCATTGTTGACAGATGACAGGGAAGCAAATAAACCACTTCTCCTTTTTATCCTTTCCTAAAACTACCTACGCTTTTAACATCTTCCTGATTCCCTTCTTTACATTCACTTTCTTTCTTTCCTTCCTTCTATACATCTCTACCTTTGACCTCTGTTGACCACCCGATGCCGCCTTCTCCTCCCTGATCTTCCCAATAAAAGCCTACCCTGGTGCCGCAGACGGTTCACCAGTGACATCCCACTGTTGTCACCATCACCATCATCATCACCACCACCCTCATCATCATTGTCATCTTCATGTCTTCTCATCCCTCCAAATGCGCCCATGTTTCCACCTGGACCAAACGCGTGAAACAAAAGAAGAACGTTGACTAAGTTGCTATCGATTCCCATATCTAGCCCCCCACCGTTGTTTCGTCCTAAACCATCCATATCAAAACCCTCTTCATCATCCGAATCCAACCCATGGGGGTTTGGGTTTCTTTCTATAACGTAGTCACCAAAGACCACTGAACCAGGCATGGATGACGTGATGGTGCTAATCACATCATCCCGCTCTCTCTCACGCTCAAGCCGCCTCCATTTCTGTTCCTGATCGGGGTCCACTTCACGCGGCTTAGCGGAAGGATGCTCTAACCTCACGTGTTTCTTCAACTCTTTGTATCCTCCAACAAAAGAGCAGTTGTCATGCATACAAGTTCTTTTCTTTGCATTAAGATATTCTCGGGCTGACTCCACCACTGTCCACCCTTTGACTTGACCTCTGCAAAGCGGGCATGCGAGCTCAGCCCCTTCTTCACACTTTTCAACCGGCCAACCGGAAATGGGGTCCAAAGCAGGACCACCATTTGGTCCTACCGAAGATAGGGTGGTTTGTGGCAGTGTTACTTTTGTGTAGGCGTTTTTGTACTGGTCCAGGCAGTTGGAATAGCGGGAGCTAGTGCCACACATGTATGGGCGACAACCCTTATCGTGAGAAGAGCATAAGAGAAGAACAGCGTTGTGAGGATACTCCATGCATACCGAGCAGGTTACATCTTCCCAATCTTTTATGGGCACAACAATGGAGGATTTCTTTCCGTTCAGGTCGTCCGATACGTTCTGCCCACAGGTGAACATTGGGTATGGGGTTGTTCTGCAGTGTCGTGAAACACTTCTACGTCTTCCCACTCTTCCCCTGGCACTTTTTGCCATTTCAAAGATAAACCTGATGTGAACAAATAGATATGAGACTTTGGGTGATAAAAGTTTTCAAGGAATGACATTGTTGAAAATGTTCATGTCTATCTGCTTCACAAACCAATTTCCATGAATATAGTGAAACAAACTAGCAACAAAAACAGATGGCCCCCATAACAGATGCATCAAGAAAGAACAACCATCCTTGGGTAGCTTAACTAACTGGTAAGGTTTTGGGTTAGCTCCAGTGGTCACAATTTCAGTCCCATCAGGGCCATTGGCGGCTTGTCTGGCTGTTAACTTCAGGGCCTAATGGTTTGGTTTAGTCAAAGAAAAGAAGAACGAACAAGTTATGCACAGAGACTACAAGTTTAAGAGCTTAAGATGTAAGACAGCAGCAAGAAAGAAAAATGATATCTTTTTACTATTTTGTCTATTAAACATATAGACATGAGACAATCAACTCTAATTGGGCTCAAAACCTTATCTCAAGGTTACTTAAATGGAGTTCTAGACGAGTTTACCATTCCTACAGACACACGAAAACAGTAGAAACATTCATATATGAACATCCGGAAGTACTCCTTCCATTCTGGAACTGTCCTTTGACTTCAATGGCAACCCAGTATTTTTGATTAAAAGTAATTTAAATGATGTTTCATATATAACACCACAGCAAGCCTTGTATCCGAAGCTAGTAGGGTTGCCTAAAATTGAAACCCGAGAGAAATTATAACAAGATATTATTGATCAATCAAGCTCTAGAACAAGAATAGCATCCTACCACGTAACCTTTAGACATTTCTATCCTTTGAATTATAGGCTAATTGCCCTCATCTTTCATCAGTATGTCCATATGTCTATGCTGAAACCAAACTAAACCAAACGTACCAAGAAAATCGCACTCGAAAGTAGGGTCTGGCAATGTTAAGATGTATGCAGATCATACCTTTTTCCCTAGGGGTAGAAAATGTTTTGCAAAGCTCGAGACATTAGAAAAATAAGTATAGAAAACAGTGCAAAAAGATAACAGAGTTGAAAAAAATTTAAAAAGGAGATCCATATGTATATGCTGGAGAGGACAAAATAATCTCCCAAGTGGTGCTGCATCAGTTTCTCTCCAATCAGGACCATCCCAATCTTTTCCGTAAAATCCTTATTTCACGAATTCCTTTTCCGTGTTTAATACCATTTTTTCTAACCGGTGCACACCCTACAAGTTTGATTGTAATTACCCTGACAGTCTAAAATCTAAATAACCTTATATTACTTTTGAAGTTAAAACTATAAAGTAGCTTGTTTAAACTTCAAAAGCTAATGAACATGGTATCTAGATTGAATCCTATACCCTAAAGTTCTTTGAGTCTGGATTCAAGGATAGGCGTTCACTTGGGACTTAGGGGCTATTACTTCTTGGGTAACTCAACACATGTTCCTTATCCACTTCTGCAAAAGGTAGTTTTCAATTTGGAACCATACATTTCCAAATTTCAGCTACTAAAATTACCCTTAAAGAAAAAAAAAGTTGCAGACAGACATAGGCACATAGCCTAACTAAATTATATTTTTTGAAAGCCAGCTCAAGTTTGAAATGAATTGTGAGAAATCTAAATGTGATAAACATGAATGCCGACATGCATAACTACTTTGGTAGGAAAAAGAACTGGGAAGGGCACGACTAGAGTTTATGAAATAACAGAAGCTAGCCATTGTTGCCAGCTCAATGGTACATAAATATTTCATAAAAATGATATGATGCCAGCAGAAAGTCCATGAGAAAAAAAAGGTAAGTTTGACAACTTGGAACCTTGATTTAAATCCTTTTAAAGAGAAATTGCAGGTAACTAATAATCATTGTTACTCGACTTATTGCAGAATGACTCAACAAGTATATTTATGGCATTAAGTTCAACGGTCAACAGCAAGAATTATGATAAATGTCACTTGTCTTATTCCCAACAATGGTCAAAGAGCAAACTTGAGAGCTGAAGGAAATTTTGATTCTTAAAAAGCAAATACCCAGAAAATTTATCAAGGACAAATGAATCTAAAGGATCAACAAGGGGGTGATTTTGCATTCTATCGTACCTGACAAGCTATACATCAATGATTGCCAAATGAGAAATTAAACCACCAGACTGAAGTAAAGAGTTGGCTTCTAGAACAAAAAAAATCTGAGACCTGCGTTTTCTAGAAAAGCAAAATCATTTGTAGGATATGGAACTATAAGGATCTCCTCAATTCCTCACTAACAGAAGCCACAAAATATAACCCAAAAGAAAGCAAAGATCAGATTGAATTACCTACTAACAAAACTTCAAACTCAATATATCTCCTTGAGAAGTTGACCGTAGTCTCAGAGAGTGACAACGAGCACAACCAAGACTTTCCAATTATTGCTCTAACGACATTAATTAGCCAAATAAATGCAACATAACAATGTGATCGATCTTAAAATAGGCTGATTTTGAAAACAACATCAAAACAAACAAGCAAGGCTGCATTTACTACCAGCAATAACTGTGATAACTGGGAATGAATCAAAAATATGCACCAAAATAGCAATTAAGATCAAGTAACTTCAGTTTAGTCATATCAAATGAATTACCAAAGCTAAATTCTGCAAATTAACCATACCGCTTGAACTTCAAAGGAAATCTGGATCCAAAAGATATCACCAATAAGATGCAGCAGATACGTGTATGATCAAATAACCCAAGGCATAGATTTTATAAAGAGCTTGTAAGCTATAAAACGTGCCACATCCAAACCATCACGCGAACGACAGATGGAAATGAATAAATAAAGACGATTCCTTTAATTACGAAGCATAAACAAACAAAACCCATTTATTTTAAAATGAAAAAAAAAACTTTGAAATCAAACCAAACCCCAATCTAAGATTCAAACACTTATACAAAAAAACGACCATAATCCTTGGAATCAAATCATTATCCAAAGCAGAAACATCAATCGTAAGATGTAACAAAAGATAAAAAAACAAATCTTACCAGAGAATTGTTGGAAGGAGTAAGATTTTTCGGATCAAATTAGGGTTTTGTTGAAGAGAACGGGGAGATCGAGGGATGAAATTTGGCAGTGAAGTATATATCGAAAAATTTCTCAAGAATATTCGCTCTGAAACGTAGGGAGAGAAAAAGCGAGAGAAATGGGAGAAGTGGGCTACGGCAGATCCACGCACTTATACGGAGCGTGAAATCACGCTCAATTAAGGTTTATCTTTTCTTTAATTAAGTTGCATGTCTTTAAATTAAATGTTTGTATGAATAAATAGTTTAAACGATAAAATGACAATTTTACCATGTATATATATATATATATAATAAGGGTACTCGTACAATGTAGCGAGATAAATCTTGATTCTAATGTTTAGTTTTTATTTTGTCTCTATCAATATAATATAATTTTATGTGGTTTTGAAAAACGATAATGATTTTATTTTTGAATAAATATAAATTTGAAGATAAAATAAAAAATTGAAAACAACAAATCGATATTAGTATCAAATTAACTATTTAATAGTTCTTTTTTTTGTGTAACTTTTTTAATTTAATTTTTTATTATAATTTAATTTAGATTTAATAACAAAATAATTTATTTTTGATTTAATAGTATAATTTTTTATAAAAATAATACTTAAATATTCTATTAGAGCTCAATGATTATCTTAATTATATTTTAGATTTTCTATATTTAAAATGAATGTTTATCCCGTATTTGATTATGTTTATCTGCAGTTAGTTACACAAATTTAAAAATTGAAGCTTTAATAAGTTGTACTTATGCATAATTTACTTGTAATCTTGAATTTTAAGTAATATGCATCAATATGCAGTATCTCATGCATAAAAAATGGTTTTTAAGAGTTTTTGTCAAATGCTTTATAATATATTATAGATTCTCATTTTTTGGTGTAATTTCTTTGATTCAATTTTTTATTATACGCTAATTTATATTTAATAACAAAGTAATTTAGTTTTGGTTTAATAATATAATTTTCTATAAAGATAATAATTAAACATTTTGTTAGAATTAATCATTATCTTAATTATAGTTTAGATTTTCTAATTTTAAAATGAATGTTTATCCTTTATTTGATTATGTTTATCTACAGTTAGTTACATAAATTTAAAAAATTGAGCTTTAATAAGTTGTACTTATGCAAAATTACTTGTAAATTGTAATCTTGAATTTGAAGTAAAATGCATCAATAAACAGTACTTCATGCATAAAAATATGTTTTTAGAGTTTTTGTCAAATGTTTTATAATATAGTATAGATATAGATATATATATATATATATATATATATGGGTAAAATTGTCATTTTATCGTTTAAACTACCTTATAAATCAGATTTACCAAAAATTTTAAAACAAAATTTTTAATGCACAAAGTCTTAAAAACAACTCATAATGCATTAAGTACTACTACTTTAAGCATTCAGTCTTAAAATCTCTTAATCTATATTTATAATAACATATGGCACAAGTTATTAATGCACATTATTATCTTTTCTTTTCATGTTTCCAAAATACTTTTGACACATTTCACTCATGTTTTCACCCTTTCATATCTCTATGTCTTATCTCCATCCCCCAAGGTGAGATTTAAACTGATATTCACCAGTTTGATATTTATCATGAGTTATTAAAAGTTATCTCATTCATCTCCCATTCAATTACTCTATAACTCTCGGTCTCGTTCTCGATCTCTTGATTCTTTGCTCTTGGTGTAAATCAAACACATTTGTGGAGTCGCTTCAATATGTTGGATTTTAAATATATTGGATTTTAAACTGTCATACAATTTTTTTTCATCGATAGACTGTAATTGGAACCATAACTCATATTTATTCAAATTGCATTAATATGTAAAGATCAAGTGTAACTTATATCATCGTTAAATCTTCTCTAATAAAACCAGTGAAACTTCAAAATATTAAAATTCACGGCTCATGCCGCATTGCGTGGATACACAACTAGTATACATACATACATACATATATATATATATATATATATATAT